GCTGGGTATCTTCCCCAAAGAATTAAAAGAATCATACCACAGTGATATATGTGCACCCATGTTCATAGCAGCACAGTTTGTAGTAGCTAAAACTTGGAAACAGCCCAAATGCCCATCAACTGGAGACTGGATCAAGAAAACATAGTTTTTTTAATAAAATGGAGTACTACTCAGCCATCAAAAATGAGAAATTAGAGACATTTATTGCTAAATGGATGCACATTGAGGCAATACTCTTAAGTGAAATAAACAGGACACACATGTATAAATACCAAATAGTTTCTCTAGTGTGAGAAACTGAAAGTGTAAATAAGGACTAAAAAGTATAACAGGTAATGTGAAATAGGAAGAAAAGAGGCAAAGGGGAGGGGGGAGTGGGAGGAGTAGGGGAAAGGAAAGAAGGGAATGGAATTAATATGAGAAAATGAAGAAATGGAAACAAAGTCTTTGTAAATAGGGAGGGATGGAGGGGTTGAAGGGAGGGCAGGGGAAGGGGGAAAAATAAGAACCAAGAGAGTATTTAAAGGTGCATATCTCCAATGATGAATGTCATTATACTGTACACCTAAAATGTACCAATAAAAGGATATACAAGAAAAAAAAAAGAAATAATGGGTCAAAAATCTCAAGATTATACAGGCTCAGGATTTTATTAAGTCAGCTTTTTTGTCACTCATACAAAATACCTGACACCCGCAACTTAAAAGGAGGAAAGGTTTAATTTGGCTCACAGTTTTAAGAGTTTTCGTCCATGGTTGGCTGGCTCTAGGACAAGAACATCATGCTGGAGCAAAGTGGCTTACTTCACAGGGGCCGGGAAGCAGAGAAAAAGGAAAGAGCACCAGAGAGGAAGGGGTTAAAGGACCAGATATAGTACCCAAGGTCATGCCTCTGAGACCTATACAGACCCATCCAGATGTGTTTTATAAATCCTCTAAGCAGCTCACAAGCCAATCAAGTTGACTGACAATCCATCTTAACTGTTACACATATCCTTTATACCATAAGTGTTTCAGGTTTTAGATTTTTTCTAATTTTGGAAAATTAGCATATACACAACAAGACAGCTTGGGAATGGTAAACTATCTAAATCAACTTTAGTAAAGCAAGAGGATGTCACATTACAAAGCCAGGCTGCCGTCATGTTGGCTTTTTAAAAAAGGAAAATTTGTAACAGCAGGTAAGATAGCCTAGAAACCTTTTTTCATTTTAGGAACATTATCTAGATCTATCTTTGTATAAGTGAATTAATGACTGAAAATCATAAAAAGTTTTTATAGCAAAATCAAGATTTTTTTTCATAAGCTTATTTTAATTTTTTGAATTTTAACAATTCAAGTTAAATTCAGCTAGCTAACATAAATACAGAATAAATGCACACAATTTATAGCCATGTACATGGGCAAAAGTTATCAACTCTTTGAAGTTCACTATTTAGCTATGACTTATGTGTCATAATTGTTCACATACATTGGGGTACACATTCAAAAGGTTTAACATAAAAACAGAGCTAGAATTTTTAGTTTTTAAGAGTAGCAAAAAAAAAAATCA